TTTCTTCCCAATCAGTAAAGTCAGAAGTTGTTAAAACACAGAAGACTTATTCAGATGAATTCAATCAGTTAGGTAAACACTAATGCTTAGCAATTGTTATCAACATGGACTTTTAATTCAAAATTAATTATCACGCACTGCTCTTTTGAAATTTTATATTTCAATAGGCGTGAAAGTGAGGTCATTAGAAGACGCAGCTGCAAATTACTCTGTAATTCTTGCTGAAAACAGGAAGTTACACAATGAGGTCCAAGAGTTAAAAGGTGCAAGTTTATGATTCATTTAAAAATTATATGTGACATGGATGATGATTCGCCCTTTTAACTGATTGACCTTCAATTCTCTCATGGGTGTTTAATATTTTAGGAAATATTAGAGTATATTGTCGTATTAGGCCGTTTCTTCCTGGACAAAAGGACAAGCAGGCAATTGTTGAATATATTGGTGACAATGGTGAGCTAATTATTGTGAATCCTTCAAAACAAGGAAAAGAGGGTCGCCGCTCATTCAAGTTCAATACTGTATATGGTCAATCTGCAACACAAGGTTTTACAACAATTTTCAGCATCATGCATGACAATTGGTCATGTTGACTTTTCATCTTTTATTTTTACGTTTCGTTCCCTCTCTATAATGATCAAGAGACTTCACTTTTGGTCAAAAATTGCAGCACAAGTATATGCAGATATACAGCCATTGGTACAGTCAGTGTTGGATGGATACAATGCATGTATATTTGCATATGGTCAAACAGGATCAGGGAAAACATACACTATGGTAAGAAACTCATTGTATTGTACATAGTATTTTTTTTGTTAAGTTGCTGCTTTTAAGATATTGCCGAGTACAATGAGATCGATCAACAGACTGGTCCTGATGGAGCTACAGAAGACCAATGGGGAGTCAACTATCGTGCTTTAAATGATCTCTTCCGAATTTCACAAGATAGAGGGAGTGCTTTCTCATATGAAATAACTGTGCAAATGGTGGAAATATATAATGAACAAGTTCGTGACTTACTATCTAACGATAGCTCTCAGAAAAGATATCCTTATTCCTTAACCAAATAATGATTTCTTTAGTGTGGCTAAACTAAAATAGTTAACAAATCCTTGAATATTTTTTGCTTTCCTACACGAAATAATAGCACAAATATGGATAAAATAAAATAATAAGCACACATGTGAAATCTAATGCATAATGACCATATGCTATTTTTGTAGTGACCAAACTGATGTTCTATTTTACATTTCAGTTACCATGGGCCATATATCCATTTTGTCCATGAATTCTATTTTAGTAATAACAGGGAAAAAAACTTTTATTTACTTCTCGGTAAATTTGTAGTCTATGATTATTTGATGTCAAAACATTTGTTTTCCTTAATGTGCACACACTTGGGGTTTTGACAACCTCCCAACCCAATGGGTTAGCTGTCCCAGATGCTAGCATGTTTCCAGTCAACCAGCCCTCTGACGTGTTGGACCTAATGAATATTGGATTAAAGACCAGAGCCAAAAGCTCAACTTCGATGAACGAAAGAAGCAGCCGTTCACACAGGTTCGTCATTGGAAATAAAAATATCTAATCATTCTTAATATATTATATATCTGTCTTGCTAGTTTAGAATGTTACATTAAGATTATAATTCCTACTCATCTCAACAGCATTTTAACCATTCATATACGAGGGACGGATAAGAAGAGTGGGTCATCCATGCGGAGCAGCCTTCATTTAGTAGATCTTGCTGGAAGTGAAAGGGTAGACCGATCAGAGGTCAGTGGAGATAGACTGAAGGAGGCACAACATATAAACAAGTCATTAGCTGCCCTTGGAGATGTCATTTCTGCTTTGGCAACAAAGAGTCCTCATATCCCATATCGAAATAGCAAGCTTACTCAGGTTCTACAGAGCTCCCTAGGTATATATTATTTCTCATCTCTTCCTCGTATAGTGAAACTCTATAGATAGTAATATTGTTTAAGTCATTCCACACCGGAATATATATAAGTTACAAACTCACATACAATATATTGAATGGATCCTCATATAAGGTTTAATTTTTAGGATGAAATGTCAAGTCTTAATAATAAACTAGAACCAAAGCTTAATCAAGTAATCGATCCAACAGAACACCCAAATGTTAAGACTCATTTTCTCCAAAGAGGATACAAATTCTTGTGGGCATACTAAGTTATTCCATAGTAATCCATACCGGCCAAAAAGGATACAAATTCACATTTAAGTCATGTACAATAGGAGTGCTTACATTTTCTTTCACTTCTGAGAAGTGATTTATTTTAGAGATTTTATGAAAATCGATAAATAGTAAAAGTTAATCATGTTTGAAAAGCAAAATTATTTTAAAGAAAAAGTTAGAATGTTTTGTGAAAAATGTTAGTTTGTGTAACATAAAAAGTGAAAACCAGTTTGAAGTATCCTTCTCCTGCATTTAGCTTTAAACTGTTCAACTTGAAATAGAAGCACATGTTTGGAAACACTACTTTTAGCTTTTCTAAAGGAAAAAAAGCTGAAAATAAGCAATTGCTTCTCGCTACTTCTATTTGCGGCTAAACGTTTTAAGATGTAGTTCTAAGTCTTAATAGGATACTAGACTTGGCCGAAAATGGAAAGTGTGGTTACATTACTTTTAGATCATATATATGGACAACTAAGCGCCCATTAAAACACTATATATTTTCCCCATATTTTATTCAAATATGGAGTATTATTTTCTGTTTTCATTGTTTCTTTAATGTAGGTGGCCAAGCAAAGACCCTTATGTTTGTGCAATTGAATCCTGATGGTGTTTCATATTCTGAATCCCTGAGCACATTAAAATTTGCTGAAAGGGCATCTGGGGTTGAGCTTGGAGCTGCCAAGAGCAACAAAGAGGGTAAGGATGTCAGAGAATTGATGGAGCAGGTATAAATTCAATAATCTCTACCATCTATGTTAAGTTTGAATATTTTTAACATTGGCCGGTTAAGCAGGCTTATAAATTGTTTTTCATGATTATATGTTTCTATTAATACATAATTTACATTCATCCACATGATTGAGTGGGAATCTTGTGATCTCTTATAGATTGGTATAACACATCATATGGGTAAGAAAGTCCTAATCTAACTTAAGTCACATGCAAATATATTATCTATTCTCTGTTGAAAAACGAAACCAGCTAGATAACCAACTTTTTACTGAATAAATGATTTTAGGAAACTGCATCATAATAAGTTTGTCCATTTTGTTTTCCCATTTTTTCATCTTAAGAGTTCAAGTAAATGAAACATTGGCCCTTTCTAAAGTTAAATTAACCTGCAGGTTACAACTCTTAAGGGCACACTAGCAGCAAAAGATGATGAGATTACGAAATTGAAGCTAATCAAAGATCCCCAAAAGGTGAAGGGTTAAGTGCACCGTGTTCCTTGATAATTAAAGGTTTGTATTACTTTGACCCTTAACTAATGAAGTGATATGAGGGAGTTACTTAATGATTGCCATCATTTCATAATACTACATTCATTTTAATGCATAATTGAGGCACTTGTCACATTTTACTTTCAGGCTTGGGATGTTCTGCCAGAAGATAGCTGGAAAGTAGCGTTAACACTTAGTTATATTATTCAATTGATTTATTTTTTCCTTTTTGGATTTCCTCGTGCAGCTTGTTTAAACCATTCTTCTGCCGGGAAATCCTCTCATTTTTAACCTATTTGTCCCCCCTGCCGATTAGATATTCAGGTGTATAGTTTTCTATCCTGGACCACCGGCTAATAGGACATAGTTTTCAGATAGAATGTTCATAGTATGTTTTCGTGAGGGGATAATGACACACTTACTAGTTTAAAACTTGTATAGGACCGTACTATGGATATATGTAAATAATAGCTGAAACTTAAAGAGTTTCGACTCAATAAGCAACTGAAATTGCAGCAATTGCATATTCATTATTCAGTTATTTTCTATATTTTTACTACTAGAGAACTATGCTTAGCCCACAAAATTTGCCCATACAAAATTAAATTTGTAACTTAATGCGTCCTTGGCCCAAAAAGATTATATTTTGTGGGGATTGTATTTTCCCTACAAATGCTTTTTTAAATGTAAAAACTCTTTGTGGTTAGAAGTTTCCTTTCCTCACCAAAAAATTTTTTGTGAGCTTTACACTTTTCCCACAAAAATATTCTACAAACAAATGGCAAGGCGTATGAAAAAGTATCATTGCACAACAAAAGTTATTTTTCCCCACGCATTAATTGTAGTTACTATATGTTTGTGTCCTTTTTATTGTGTAGTACTCCGTATGATTATGATCTAATTAGGATCCACATGTTACATTACGTGCCTCCTAGTTTTTATCTGCATAGGCTTTGGGCTAATACTTATCATGAGTAATATAATGAAAGTTATTTGTTCTGTATACAGCTTGAAAATGTAGGGTTTACTGAATGTATCTTATGTTTTCAAATGGCTACGTATTTTTTCTAAACCATCATTTAGTTTATGAATGTAGATATGATAAATTAGTCATAACGTCCTAATAATTGTATTTATGGCTTTTAGAACTTGAATGATATATCATGCTCACGTTATACTCTAATTAAGTTCCTATATGGATATTCGGTATCAAATTTTATTTAAATGAGGTTTCATTATAAAAGACTAGAGCTTGTTTGATAACACAAAAGCTATTCTAAAGAGCCTCTTTACCAAAAATGTATTTTTGCTAGTCAATAAGTTTAATCAGTTAAATATGGTCAAATAAACTAGAAAAATGGTGGACAAGTCATTTACCAAACAAGGCCATTGAGTTGAAAAGATGTTTTTTGGAAGGGAGAAATGGGGTGGCAATTCGTGTGAGTTTTTTTTCTCATTTGAATTGATATGGTATTATGTGCATATTTTAGTATTACTTGTTAAGTGTAATTATTTGGGAACTGAAAACATCCTCCTAAATCTAATCATTGGTCACCGTTAATTAGGTATAGTTTCATTTTTTTTGGAAAAGGTATATCTTCATATTTTGGTTCACAATATTTACATTGGTGATAGTATAGGGCTCATGGTAGGGTGTTTACCATATAAATAAAAGTTTTAAATTACAACATGAATGAATGTACATATTCTACTATAACTATCATCTAAGTCTAGAGTAGTTTTATGGAATCATATATGAATCCTTTATGAAGTTATATAGATGATCATCTATCACTACAAACAATCATTTTTTTGTGGGACTGTCTCACTAAAAAGGATTGTCTATTCTGAATCTATAGTCATCCACGACTCCATAAATGAATAATATGTGATTTCTTAAATTTTGTAGGCTGAAATGGGTGGGTCAGTGTGAGGGGAAGAAAAGTGGTGAAGAATCTCTTTGGAGCATCCCATTATCTTCTTTTATCTTCACTTTGTTCATCTTCTCCTTGCACCAATGCAATTGATCCCCATTCACCTCTTTCATTCTCAAAACTCTACAAACAACTTTCAAGTCTATTTGTGCCATCAAAATCTCCATTTCGTCCTTCTGTTTTAACTTTATTTTTCTCAGGCGCAACTTCCCCGTCCGCTTCATATCTTTCAGCTTTCTTTTTTTCTACATATTTTTACAAGTCATATCATTAGAATGCCTGTTAGTATTCTATATACCAAATATAAAGTATGTTGGTTCAATGTAAGAAATGAGTTGGACTTGGTGTAGACACTTTTTGGTGTACATACTTTTACACATGTTTGTGTGGGTTTTTTTTCTGTACAAACAAACAAAAAAGCCTACGCAGACATGTGTAATAGTGTGTACAGTTGTACACCAAAAAGTGTGTACAAAGAGTATTTTTGATAAGAAACAGTGATAAATATAAGATCACATTAAAAACAATGGATAAAATGCGACTTTTATACTTTAGTGATAAGAATGTTCAAAACTACACAAAAGTGGCAATAACAACCTCTGTTAGTTTATTCGTGTATAATTCGCGTATAATACACTAAAACGTATAATTCGCGTATAATACTCCCGTTTATGAATTTTTCAAAACATTATGAAAAATTCACGTACTTTAAGGATAAAATGTATAATACACGTAGTGTACGTATTGATTCGTAGTTTATTCACGAATAATACTCCCGTTTATGAATTTTTCAGAAAATTCTGAAAAACTCACGTACTTTAAGGATAAAATGTATAACACACGTACTGTATGTATTGATACGTATTTCATTCTTAAACACACACCATTAAACGGAAGCTTAATGGAGTGATACAACTGAAACGAAATGTCTAGCACTCTAGCTGCTCAATACTCCCTCCGGTTTTATTTAATCTTCACACTTTGACTTCACACAAAATAAGGAAAGAAATTTGACTTTACTGTAGAGTACACTGTTGAGGCACTGTTTGACACTGTTTGGCACTGTAGAGACACTGTTTGGCACTGCTGAGACACTGTTTGACACTGTTTTGATGTAGATTTCTTTGCCAAAGAGGAAATAAGGAAGTGTGAAGTCTATTTTAGACCGTCCCAAAAAGGAAAGTGTGAAGTTTATTAAAAACCGGAAGGAGTATTATTTATATTGCTTAAAAAAACTTTATGCCTTATATGTTTGTTAATTGTTTAATAGTCATTACATTTAATAAATTAGCTTCTTAAATTCTTAATCTGTTTCGACATTACTATTGTACTACTATTGTATTACTTTTGTTCTACACCCATACCAAGACTCCAAAGAGATCGAAAAATGTTGTGGTGGCTCACCAAACTCACGATCACAATAATATCAACTATTCTTTGGTAATATCTCGTACTTCTACTCAAATAGGCAATGTCATTTTTATTACTTATTGTACCTATGCATTCAAATTTGTACTGATAACTCTTTATTTCTTTCATTAAATTAGTATATAAGACACATATTATATGCCGTATTTTAAAAATGTGAAACGTTTAAAACACGTCTGTATCTTTATATATTTCACGAACATATGAAACATATATTAAGCCGTATTTTATATAATTGCATCGTATTATACACGAACGTATGTATTATTGTATTATTCACGAACCGTACATTACTAACAAAGATAACAACATATATATGCATAATAACTTTAATCATATATTTATTTAAAAATTATATTTCAATAATATTTTAAGAAAAAACTCTAACGATAACCATTTATGTATATCTTAAGAAAATACTTAATAGTATTTAAGTATGAATAATATATGATGACTTGTAATCTTGTATTCTATGCTCATACACACACGCATATTTTTTTCGATATCAATTCGGCTCTAAATGATTTTAGAAGAACGAATCGATATACAAATCACTAGTATTATATCAGCACAATTATGGTATGATGTCAGTTAACTGTTAACTATTATTGTGTTTCATCGTCAGACTGCTAACACATAAAAATATAATTTCACATTAATAAATCTCTAATCATAAATAAGTAACAAATGAAACAATATTAAGGAGTAATAAAACAAGTAAATATCCAAGATTTTTATATAAAGAAAATGCAGTATTAGTAAATTACCAACAATAAGTATTAGAAAATGCAGTATTAGTAAATAACCCTGAAGTCGTACAAAAATTATTTACTTATGGATTTATTGATAAAATAATAGTACTTATGGAATAAACTTTAATGCTTGTTATTGATTCGAACATTTTCATTTTGTTTAAACACACAATTTGGGTAGATAGCCTTAGCATTCAATCGTTCAAAGGTTGGATGTGGCAGTGACATACCCCTTCCCTTTGGTTTTATTAATTTCCGCTGCAAACAATTGAATGTTTAATCAATAAATAAAAGTTCATTTTTATTTCAAAGTATTATTTGGGTGGGAAATTTGGGGGTGTCACAAGTTGATGAGCATTAACTTACTTTTTTGTTTACTTTTTGGAGGTTCAAAAGAAGGAGTGGATCAGCTGAGCCTGGTCTGCTTTTGCTTTTCTTGAAAAAAGATGCTATCATTTGACAATAATGGCCCTCCTTGTCTGCTTTGAGAAAATTCATGAATGTCCGGATTGATTCCTCCATTATTTGAAGGAATGAATCTGAAGGAATCCTGGAACAAAATCCTTCTTCTCTTTTCTCCTCGTCCGAATCTTACGTGCGCAAGTAAATACATGAATATTAACATAAGAATAACAAATTAGATTATAATAATTTATATGTATCTAATCATAAAGGAAAGAATTAAGACAATAATATTACTAAAAAATAACAATTGGATACAAAAATAAGAAAAAAAACGTGTATATTATTAGTAGAGCTTTCCCGGACACAAATATGACTAATTATGTTTTGAAAAAATGACATGAATATTACTAACAGAGTTTTTCGGGACAAAAATATGACTAGTTATATATTTGGAGGAAAATATGACTAGTCACAGTGTACGCGTAATTGGACAAGTCACTATAATGTATTCCAGAGTAACAAGTCACTTGTAGAGATTAGTCACTGAACATGTCACTTTTTCGGAAAATTTTAAAATAAGTTACATTTTTGTCTTTTAAATTTAATTTAGTACTCCGTAATATTCATGAAAAAAAGTCTCATGTTTTTGGACAAAAATGACTAGTCACTGTGAACGAGTAACTGGACAAGAGACATTATAATGTACTTGAATTTCATAATGACAAGTCCCTATTAGATGATGACTCACTGAAAACTAGTCACTCAATGTGTCATTTTTTGAAAAATTTGAAAATAAGTTATATGTAATAATTTTGTCTTTTGAATTTAATTTAGTAATATTCATGAATAAATGTCAAAAAGTAATCTTTCCTTTTAATTTTCAAAAAGCGAGACTAAAAATGGGTATGAGGGCTACTATGCGAGTTACATTTATTTGACCCTACACGCTATTTACAGTTACCCGATAGGTCAGATACAGTTGCCGGATACGCCAATTATAGTTATCTAACTCACCAATTACAGTTATAAGACCGGTCAGTTACAATTACCCAATCCGCCAGTTACAATTACCCGGCCCGTCAATTATAGTTACCTGATCCACCAGTCCGAGTCCGACTTACAATTACCAATTTGACAAGTTATTATAGACTTTATAGTTATCCAACCGGATCAATTACCATTATTGGGTTCGACCATTTATAGGTTCTCATAATGATTACCTCCGGCCACCGTCATCAACCACCACAGGCGATCACCACCGCCTAACACCGAATCTCAGCCCCCTACTCTCTATTCAGCAACAGTTTTCAAATTTAGAAACTTTTACTCTATTTCAAATGAGAGCTATTCAAAACTGAAATTAGAGCATTGGTAATAGTATACCTCTATATTCAGGCACTTGGAGTAACTTTGGGGATGAGCCCCTCACCCTAGCATAAACCTCAGGCCTCCTTCCATGTTCAAATGGTTCATTCTCAATGTACCTCTGGAGAAGAACCTGAAACTGCTGAAATTGCTGAGCAACGTAGGCAGGGCAGCCCCGGTCTTCCGGTTCATTCGCCGGCCGCCGCCGCCGCAAATCCAGTAGGCGCTGGAGTTGCTTGTAATTCCAATTCAGAGCTTCCCATGTCAAGCATATTTGTGCCACGTAAGCTGCCTCTAGATCATTGTATGGATCCAACGGTCCCCGTTTTCTTCGTCTAAACTTATGTACAATCCTATCTGTTACTGATCTTGGATTATTTGATTGTAGTCTTATCCTAAGCGATTCTGGTGGGAAAAAAAAGAACAAAAAACTATTACTTCATTTGCAGTTTTGCACATGCGGTTTTTAACTTTTTACCGCAACTTTTCTTCTAAAATGATCAAAGCAATAACGTAGTACTCTGCACTCCATACGCTGAGTATGAATAATTACCTTTAATTTGATTACCAAAATTTCATAAATAAAAATAAAATATAAAAAATTACCTAAAAAAGGTTGTCATTATTTTCTTCCAAAAGAAGAATCATTAACTTCTAATTTAGATAGTTTCATTTTATTAATATTCCCATTTTAGCAGTCAAACATAATCGGTTCTATTTTTGAAAACATTCCACATTTTATTCCTATTTTGAGCAATTTATTAAACATGTATGAGTGGGAAAAGGTCGTAATTGAGTGCAAAGATCTAGGGATGAATTTAGGGGGACGATAGATGACGGCCTCTTGGAACTTCAAATTTTTATTACTACCTCCATAGCGGAAACAAGTTCTCGCGTTGACTTTCACACAGTTTTAGAAAATAAATTTACTGAGGGGTAAATTTTATTGTTTCGACACTCTTTTGACACTGTTTTGCACTGTTTTGATGTAGATAATTTGTCAAATAAGGAAATGAGAAGTTTATTTTGGGACATCCATATAAGGAAAATGGGAACTTGTTTCCGGGACGGAGGGAGTATATATGTAATACATTCATAAAATTATCATACTTTAATTAAATATACAAATGTTCACCCTCCTTAACTTTTATTTTTCAAAATTGATTAGTGTTACGTAATACTACGTATAATACTTATAAGGAGCTATAAAAGAAGAAACCCCTATTTTTTGTATGAGAGTTTTGCAAATGTTCAAAATTGATTATTGTTGCGCAATATAATACAGTACTTATAAGGAACTATAAACGGCATATCTATTTTACCAATTTATCTTCATTAATAAATTTAAAAGCCAGTTTACTACACGTTTCGCACATTTGTTTATGTAAACAGAGCTAGAACAATTTTACATTTTTTAGATGAATGGTTTGTGTTTACGAGATTTTCCCAACCAAACCAACCATAAGGTAACACTCAAAAAGAAAAGGTAGAATCAAGTTGGTTACGTAATCAGTAAGGAATGGGGAGTATCAAGCAAACTTTATTCAAATATTTTGCAGGTAGCTAGTGCGAGTAGATCTCAACATATCATCTCTTATATTTTATGGTATAAAGTTAAAGTTTTATAATCTGTATATACGTGGAATAAGATTGTCACACTGCCCACTCTCAAACATTACTTTATGCATTTGACCAATGTGACCCTAGATATATCCACTCAAAATGATACCAAGCAGCAAAGAAGAAATCAAAGCAAGTAATCTTCATTGTGTATTCCGACTATTTGCGGTCAAAAATCAAAATGAGACAGAGAATAAATTGAATTCATTATCTTATCTTACCTTTATATATACCTCAAGACTACAGTAATTAGCATTTTGTAGAAATTCGGTCTAATAATGTGACAAAATACTAGGATAACACTCATTTTAAAGATATGTGATATGTAAGCACGAGTGGCGAGTAATCAAAGGTAAAATGAGGATACAAATATTGCGGGCATGTTTGGCGGACACAAATCACTACCTTCTACCTTCTGTACTATTTAAAAAGTTTTTAAAATTTTCCAGATGTGTGTTTGACATGCTAATTTTTAAGAGTTTTTTTAAGATTTCTTTAGATGCTACAGTGAGTAACATCTCAAAAAAGTCCGTAGACCGGGGGCGTAGCTCACGTGGTAGGATGGGGGCGCCACAAAAGAGAAGTCTCGGATTCAACTTCAAACAATGACTTGGGATAGAACCCCACTCTCTTTCCATCAGTGAGAGATCAAAGTTCGATTTAAATCCTCCGAGATAAGTGTCTCGTCGGTTCTGGGGCATCAGGGATGGGGTGTCATATTTTTTTTCCAAAAAAGTTCATAACTTTTAGTATTAATTAGTCCCAACAACTTGTATACCAAACATAACTACATCAAACAGTCAGTTTCTTATCAAACAACTAATATTTTTTGCTTTTGAAATCTTTTCAGTCACTTAAAGCTAACACTTATTATAAAGCACATAAATATTTTTTTCAATTAGTTGTGCAAAACAAACTCTTATCTTTTAGCCAATGTCATATTCATGAATTTAGGTTGGACTTACTGAAGAGTAATTATAAGGGGTTTTTACAACAATGTTATTAAAATAAAACTTATTTCCATAAATATGACTGTTCATTCCTACAACGTAATGTTGTGGTAACTTAAGTTCAAAACATGAACACGAATTACTGTGACTCCATTGCTACTCGAATAACTAGTCATATTTTTGTAATCACCTTTATTTTGATCATATTTATGTAATTATTTCTAATTATAATAGGTTCACATATTAGCAGAGTGCTTTAAGTATGAAATATGAAGAAAAATTACACTAAAAATTTGAAGAAATAAATGTATTGGTTTAGATTTCAGCCCAATGTAACCCCATGGTAGATTAGATCCCCCAGCGGCAGACATAGGCAGGGGCAAATGGGGGCCGCCGCCCCATCAATTCTTTTTTCTAAGTACATTTACCCCAGAATTTAAAATATATATTTATATATATTTTTTACACTGCTGCCCCAAGATTTCTGCTTCAGCCGTTGATCCTCCCCAACTTGTAGCATATGATTATTGCCTTCTAATGGAAGTATGGACTATAAAATGAACTATCGTAACAATAAAATTGAGAATAAATAGGGAGTCACATACTCGCATTTTACGATAATAAAAATATGTTAAAGTGAAAAAATAATTAGCAGTATTGAAATGGTTGGCACCTGTTTCACGGAGTTTTTGAGCACTAATCCTGTCCAAAAACAGCATTTCTTCGTCATACTTTTGGAAAAGAGTATATGACTCCCACTTGGGGCAACTTCTTCTGGAAGATGAAGAAAATGGATCTTCGGTGCAGGAATCCTTGATGGAGCTTCTCCATTCCGACGAGCTCTTTGAAGTGGATCCAACGGTGCAGGAATCTCCAAATATATCTTCTTCGTGTTTTTCTTCTTCTCGAAAGTGCAACCTCTTGCTCTCCACCTTGGGTGGTGGCGCGTGCAACAACTTCTCCTCCACTGGTTGAATCATACCATTTGCCTCCACTCTCTTTTCTTTTCTCATCATCTCTTTGGGAAAATTATCTAAAACATAAAACGGTTGTTTTTGAATTCAATAGAGGTATTTTTGCTTCTATTTGTAAATTTAGTAGCCCAAATTTCACATGCACTCTCAAAATAATATGTGTAATTCAAGGCAAATTATAGAGTATTGTTGTGGTATTGTAAATTGAGAATTTATTTCAATCAGTCCGGATTGACCGGGAGTCCCGTACTCCCGTCAGCCCAGACAGGTTCGTTTGATGGACTTTTATGTGGAATTTTTTTATTAAATTTTGTAAGCATGTTCTTCGTGAAATGTAGATTATCTTCACGAAATTTCAACTTAAAATCTAATTCGAAAAAAAGTTAAATAAAACATTTAAAAATATTGTGTTTTATTGTATATTGAAAGCCATTTATTTTCAATAATTTATTTAACTGATTTCACAATTGAAGTTTAAACTTAAATTTTGTGCAAATAATCTACATTTGAATATGCTCACTAAATTTCATTAAAAGAATCACATGAAAACCTCTCAAACGGGTTTGGCAGGACGGGACTCCCAGTCAGACGTGCCTCAGGAGATCTTTACTCCGGTAAATTAGTTTGCGTCATAGATATGATATCCTCACTTATTAGTGCATGGAGTAGCATAGTAGTTATTGTGATTAAAATATGAGTCACTATTTAAAATACCAAAATGACTTATCAGCAATATAGGTACTATTTATGAAAATTCAATTAGAAATACTGATTTTATATGACTACAAATTTCTCTGGTTTTTAACAAAATTATTAGATGGATTAACATAAAATTGAGAAAAATTAAATGTGAAAAAATATGTTTGAACAAATACCTACCTATACGAGCTTTATTATTCTCACGTGACATGTCCAGGCGGTGAACACTTGTTTTAGAATAACCAATATGATTGTCCCTACTTGGAATATTCTCTTCATCATCAGCCACTTCTCCATGACTAGTAACATTAGTCTCCATGGCTGATGGTGATGATGAGGTCCAAATGCTGCAGGGTGGTTCTTCATTGACAACACTTTTGATTTCCTCTACTACTTCATCATCTCCCTCTTCTTTGGGAGCCACATCATCATCATCATCACCATCATCATCATTATGACAATCTTGGAAGCTTCTACTATGTTGCAGATGATGATTCTGGATATGATGATGTTGTCTTGCTGATACACTAACAGGGGTACCATGGTAGGTAATGAACTCATCATACTCAACTTCATCTTCCACTACTTTTTCTTCATCATCAGAGTATGTGTCAATGAACTCATCATATGCAGCCCTGCAGTAAAAGTATATAACATGCAAACCACTGATTCAGTGATTCATTAAAGAAAACATTATTTTTCATTATATAGAATTGAAAAATTCATACCTTCCATAAAACAGGTCACCACCAAGAAAGTGAAGGATGGTAACAAGAAGAATAAAGGAGAGATATGAGAAGAGCATGAAAAGTTGAAATGAGGCTGAGGCATTGTAGAACAGCCTTGCAATTGCTTCTTTTGAACATTGCATCCTTTTTTTCTTTTTCTAAAGCAGAGGGAGAAGAGGGGGAAATAGAATGAGAGTTGTGATACTAATATACAAAGCTAAGGAAAGGATCTGTAAGGGCAGGGGATGGATAGATGCATTTACCTACCTGCTGCTGGATGGCCGGCCTGTTACAGTACAGCTTGAACAAAAGCAAAGTTAAAAAGCAATTCAAAGTGTGTGGCACTGATAAAAGTTTGCTGCTTTTAATGCCTATATTCAATATCGGCTGTTTCTGATATCTTCTTTATTCTCTCAAATGACTTCAATACCCCGTTCTCCATATATTCAGTAATATAATATTCTCCATGCTTGAATTAAATTCAGCAATTCATGCCGTAAAAGTATAAATGTATACAATATACACACACGTACACATTTATTAAATTATTATTATATGTGTAATGGGAGATTGAATTAATTGGGTCATTCAGAATGTGAGGTACGTACCCACTACTCCATGCGTGGTACTGAATTGAGACTCTGTTGGGCCCAAGAAAATAGTCACGCGAATGGGTTAGTTGCTGGGCCTGGTTATTTAAAGAGATTAGCACATGAAGTCCATTGGGAGAATACTCAATTCAATGTTCTGGCAGAATGACTTGGTCAATAATCCAAGGCATTGAAGATAAGAACGAAGTAAACGGATACTAACTGAAGTGGACGAGCTAATAGGGGAAGCCACCTATTTCGGTGGAAGGTTGTTGCACGTGGGTATGACATTTTAGAATAAATAGAGTCCTTAAGTGGAAGATTTACACAGATTACTTTTTGCTCAACTCTTGTAATACAGAGGAAGATCACTCACGATCACTTTTGATCAAGCCATTAATTGTATTCACAATCAGTAGATATCCACTATCACATATGTTCGAATTCTTATTCCAAACCCATTGTTTAATCTATTCAATATATTCATTTCATTCATACCTCTTTATTAATCCATAGCCGATTCTTTTTGCTTGATTCCCTCTTCATTAAATAGCTTTTGATTAGTTAATTTCTAGTCAAAACAATTGGCGCCGTCTGTGGGAAATTCTTGCAAAAAGAGAATCAATTATGGCCGAAAGTTCTAACTCCCTGTTTAATGAGATTCAAGCACAACTAGAAGCCGTTCGAGAAGAGCTCCGCGCATCCAAAAGTTCCGACGCAGCACAATTAGAAGCTGTCCGGGAGGAAATGCGTCAACGAATCGCCTTCCTCCAAGGTGAAAATGACGCTTTGAGATCTCAGGTGCAATCGGTGGCATCCATAGCCTCAAGCTCACGACGGGGCGAGGATGTGGCTACCATGGCAGCGAGACTGGACATGGGTTCGATTCCGGCTTCAACCGAACCTTTCATCCCTCACTTCGGGGCCGACGCATCTGGAGGAACAGGGCCCTCAACTCGTTCCTTTCCACCCCCAAATCCCAGAAGGAGCATATTCCGAAATCTGTTTGCACAGCCCCAGAGACAACATGTTCCAAATCATGTCGACATTCCCAGATATGTCGACATCAACAACCAGAGGCGACAAGTTCCAAGCCATGTCGACATCCACAGACATGTCGACATCAATAATCGAAGCTGTCAGGAACCAGAGGTCGTCACCATATATTCGCCTCCCGAAGCAGCGGATCCGCAGATACAAACAAACTTGACAGGTCCCTTGGCCATCATCATGGAGGAACTGAGGGAATTGCGAGAGAAGTTCAACAGCATACCTGGAGTCCCACGTCCGCTTGACATGGCGACGCAAACCTGTTACGCAGACTCACCCTTCGGACGACATATCACCGATGTCGAGATTCCGAGGAAGTTCGCCGCCCCCTCAATGAGACTGTTCGATGGGACTTCTGATCCGGTGGAACATGTCGCTCAGTACAAACAACAAATGTTGGCCGTCTCAGTCAGACCACATCAGAGGGAAGCTTGCATGTGCCGGGCATTTGGGACAACGTTGACAGGACCAGCGTTGACATGGTTCGTAAATCTGCCAAATGACGGCATCAATTCATTTGCGGAGCTGGTCAACTTATTCAATCAGCAGTTTGCAAGCAGCCGAGCCTTGGAGAAGCAGACTAGTGACCTCTACCGAGTAGTCCAGCGACGGAATGAACCCTTAAGGGATTACTTGCACCGATTCAACAAGGAGAAGGTGTCAATCCCCAGGTGTCACATACCGACGACAATTGAAGCATTTAGAAGGGGACTGCTGGAGGATTCAGAGTTATATCAGGAGTTGACGAAACACCCTAGTCGGTCCTTCGAAGATGTCCAAGTAAGGGCATTGGCTTTCATCCGTCTAGAAGAAGACTTACGATGTCGTCACAGACAAATTGAACAAGACGGGGGGCACAGAAAGTCAGAACCTCCCAGGAGACATGACTACAAGCATGGAAAGCCTTATTCGAGGCTTGAGGAATAAATCGTCACTTCTGTGACAAGGTAGATCAGACGACATGATCGAAGTCGTCGGACGGGGGGCATGTCGTCCGATGGTAGACAGGTTCTTAAGACCTGCAATACGGTACACTTAAAATTGTTTCACTTTTAATAATTTTCTTTTGCATATTGACATCACTCCCGTGATAAAATAGACCAGACGACATGACTGAAGTCGTCAGACAGGGGGCATGTCGTCAGATAATAAACCTGACGAGACGATTGAAATCGTCTGACGATAGACAGATTCTCACGATAGATATTTAGTTTCATATACATATTGTCGATTGATTACTTTCATTCATCCACAAACGATCACTAACTTAAGCATCGGAGGGCCGTTGGCTTTTAGCCAACGGCCGACGTTAGCGAAATATTTATTGCACAGGTAAAATCAAGAATTGACGATGACGGAACCCTAACATGCAAAGCCTTACAATACGTCAAGACACAATTGACGGGGGGCTTACATCAAACAACGCCTTACAACACGTCAAGACACAATTGACGGGGGGCTTACAGAATTTTAGGGGAAGAAGTGGGAGTTTTCATGTACACTAAACATGAGTATAAACACCACCGATTCTCCGCAATGTTTTGGCCAAAACAACAGATAGATCATACATCACAAATGTTGACGACATCAAAGTCAGACAAACACAAAACAACAACAGTACACGTACAAGCGACATCATCATGTGGAACAACAACCACATCCAAAACTACATAAAATACACAACAGAAGTACGTGCTCCAAGAGCACGAGGACAACACAAGCTCCAAAACATAAGGAGACAACACGAACGACATTGACATACATCATAAATATTCATGTCGGCGATATTACTAAACCAACAAACGAAATGGTGCTTAATGTTTTTGCAGGTTACGGTCACACTCACAGAGTCAAACCCATTATTTATACAACGAGGGACAAACTCATAATTGCCATCAAAAGTGTCGACATCAATCTGAATGAAGGTTGACGACATGTCTCACCAGACACATGACGAGTTGACAAAAGCGTCTTTTTATACGAATGACAGGTTGACATCATGTCTGATCAGACAGATTACGAATTTACATGGGCGATATTCAAGGATGACATACATCAAAGTTTTCATGATTTCGACAAGTTGACGCTTAACGGGTTGACATGTGCGTCCATACGCTTCAACTTCTCGAAAGGGGGCAATTGTTGGGCCCAAGAAAATAGTCACGCGAATGGGTTAGTTGCTGGGCCTGGTTATTTAAAGAGATTAGCACATGAAGTCCATTGGGAGAATACTCAATTCAATGTTCTGGCAGAATGACTTGGTCAATAATCCAAGGCATTGAAGATAAGAACGAAGTAAACGGATACTAACTGAAGTGGACGAGCTAATAGGGGAAGCCACCTATTTCGGTGGAAGGTTGTTGCACGTGGGTATGACATTTTAGAATAAATAGAGTCCTTAAGTGGAAGATTTACACAGATTACTTTTTGCTCAACTCTTGTAATACAGAGGAAGATCACTCACGATCACTTTTGATCAAGCCATTAATTGTATTCACAATCAGTAGATATCCACTATCACATATGTTCGAATTCTTATTCCAAACCCATTGTTTAATCTATTCAATATATTCATTTCATTCATACCTCTTTATTAATCCATAGCCGATTCTTTTTGCTTGATTCCCTCTTCATTAAATAGCTTTTGATTAGTTAATTTCTAGTCAAAACAGACTCATCCGCTCCACTCGTGAATGAGCAGGGGAGAATGAGAAAAATACTACACACTTTCTTAAAGAATTGAAATTTTATAGGGGTAAAATTGACATGAATAATCTCTATTTACTAGTTAACTGTTTTACAAAAATAAACTTGAGTTAACAGTGCTAACTTTTGCGATTACTTTTTTGGTGAAATTAGCACCAATAGTACCTACCTACTTTTATGTATTTTACAAAAACAGACTCAGAAAATTTCACAGTAATAATCACAAAAAGTTCTAGTATAACTTTTACGTTTAGTTTTTTGTAAAATACGTAAAAGTAAGGATTATTGGCGTCAATTTTGCCAAAAAAAGTAAACGGAAAAGTTAACACTCTTAACTCGCGGTTTATTTTTGTGAAACAGTTAACTAGTTGAGATTATTGTTGCGAACTTTTTCGATAAGGACTATTTTTGTAAAATGTGTAAACGTAAGGATTATTAGTGTCAATTTCGCCTTTGAAGTTTGATATTTTCTATTAAAAATCTAGTATATTTTGTCTGCAAATTTTTTGAGAAGTGCATTCTTCCTATTGTCATGGAGTTCAAGATTCACGTTAGAAGGAAGCAATGCAAAGAGAGATTGATGCACTTAATACAATGGGAGGTGGTCTCTTAATTAATTACCACGTACCTTGCCTACAGGAAAAGCATTCCGTGTAATTTGGGGTTTTGGACTTTTGGGGTTTAAAGCGGTTCTCTTCTCTATGAACCGGTTTAAGAGCTGGATCATCTCGTTGTTTGTGACAACCATCAAGCTAAGCCCTATTGCGGAAATGGTTACAGACTTACAGGTCGAGTATTATGGAGGTGGCAGCATCTAACCAATTCAATGGGAACTTCATGAGATGGACATTGACAACTGTTGAAATCCTACACCGCTAATTTAAGGATATTTATTACAAGTATTAAAGAAGAATTGCAAAAACAAAATAGTCATTGGGGACTGGTCCCTGAGAGGGGGTAACACAACTCCCTCCTGTTAATTATCACGATTAGGCTAAGATAAACGATAAATTTAAAGCAAGGACACAAGAATTTACGTGGTTCACGCAATCGGTGTGATTACGCTAGTCCACGGCGAACGAGAGAGAGATCTATTATTATTCCAGCGTCTGGTCTGTTTACAGATACATTAGGGATGTTTAAATAGGTTTAAGAAAGGCTAAACAAGGGTTAAGGCCGCAGGCCCAAAAATTAATCCCGTCATTAATTTTCCCGTATACTCGATCGAGTATACATACATACTCGACCGAGTATAGATTCCAGACTACTACTCGAGTAAGGTTTTTACGCATACTCGATCGAGTATACCTCCATACTCGATCGGGTACAAAACACAGACTTTTACCCGAGTAAGCCATCCATGCATACTCGATCGAGTAATGACCAATACTCGATCGAGTGTAGAAACCAGGGAACTACTCGACCCATCAACACCTCATACCCGATCGGGTAACCCAACATACCCGGTCGGGTATATACTCCTGCATTCCAAACAAGGCTCCATCTTCAACAATCTCCCACTTGGAGGCTTGTTCAACAGTCATCTGCCATCCAAGAACATGTATCCTCTGCAACACCCCTGATCTCTATCTCTCGTTCACACCTTCTCATCAAGTATCTGGAAGGCCAGTTGAAGCCATGCATAGCTTCAACTTCTCCGTTGTCACCACCTTGGTAAGCATGTCTGCTGGATTCTTCGTACCAAGGATCTTCTTCAAGTTTATGATACCGTCTTCAATCAACTCTCGGATAAAATGGTATCGCATCTTGATGTGTTTCGTTCTGCTGTGAAACACTGGATTCTTCGCGAGGTGAATAGCACTCTGGTTGTCACAGTGCAGTCCGCAATCCCCCTGTTCCATGCCCAACTCCGAAAGAAAGTTCTTCAACCAGATCAACTCTTTGGCCGCTTCAGCAATGGCCATATACTCTGCTTCTGTGGTCGAAAGAGCCACACTCTTTTGAAGTCTAGACATCCAACTGATCGCCGTGCCTCCAATTGTGAATATGTAACCCGTAGTGCTCTTCCCGGAATCACAACAACCCCCCAAATCAGCATCAGCAAATCCTTCTAGAATTACTCCATTCCTCCTGAAACAAAGAGCAGTTCCAGAAGTGCCTTTCAAGTAGCGTAGCAGCCACTTGACTCCTTCCCAATGTTCCTTCCCTGGATTCGACATGAACCTGCTAACAACTCCCACTACATGAGCAATGTTCGGCCTTGTTGACACCATTGCGTACATCAAGCTGCCAACGGCTGATGCATAAGGGACTTTAGCCATCTCATCTTTGTCTTCATTGGTCTTTGGAGACTGCTGCTTGGAGAGTTTCAGCTGACTCCCTAAAGGTGTACTCCTTGGCTTGGCATCCGTCATTCTGAACTTCTCAAGGACTTTCTGAATGTACTTCTGCTGTGAAAGCTTTAAAGTACCTTCCACCTTGTCTCTGACTATGCTTATCCCAAGAATCTGTCTCGCCTCCCCTAAATCCTTCATCTCAAATTCTTCGGACAACTTCTTCTTGAGCTTGTTGATCTCCTGCATGTTTGATCCAGCCACCAACATATCATCAACATACAAAAGAAGAATAATGTATGATGACTCGAATTTCTTCAAGTAACAGCAATGGTCCATCTTGCATCTAGTGTACCCATTCCGCTGCATAAAACTATCAAACTTCAAGTACCACTGTCTAGGAGCTTGCTTCAGTCCGTATAGACTCTTCTTGAGTTTGCACACCAATCTCTCCTTGCCACTCACTGGGAAACCTACTGGTTGAGCCATGTAAATGTCTTCTTCAAGGTTGCCATGAAGAAAAGCAGTCTTCACATCCAGCTGCTCCAAGTGTAAATTTTCAGCTGCAACGATACCAAGAATCAACCTGATAGTAGTCATCTTCACAACCGGGGAGAAAATTTCATTGTAGTCAACCCCCTTCTTCTGTTGGAACCCCTTGACAACTAGCCTGGCCTTGTATCTTTTGCTCCCATCTGCTTCATCTTTGATTCTGAAAACCCACTTGTTCTCCAATGCTTTCTTTCCCGGTGGTAACTTGACTAAGGACCAAGTTTGGTTCTTGTCAAGTGAATCTAACTCATCTTCCATGGCCTTCTTCCACTGTATGGAATCTCTCACAGCCAACGCCTCTGAGTAAGATTCTGGCTCTCCATTCTCGGTCAGCAATAGATAATTTGCTGAAGGAGAATACCTGTTAGGAGGTCTCCTGATTCTGGTGGACTATCTGATGTGTGGAGTAGCTGCCTCTGAACTCCCACTGTCTTCATCACTCCCACTATCTTCAGACATTCCTGTATCTCCTGAGCTCCCACTGCTTCCTGAGCCTCCAGCCGTCTCATCACAACCGACCGGTTGTGCTATGTCATCTTCAGTCATTCCTTCAAACACCACTTGCTATTTGTTTTCTGGTTGCTTGCCTTTGCTTGTTCCTGCTGCAAGACCATCTTTATAAAGGGCATTCTCGTTGAAGGTGACATCTCTACTTCTGATAACCTTCTTGCTTTGGTTGTCCCAGAACCTGTAGCCCATGTCATCCGACCCGTACCCAATAAAGATACACTTCTTTGCCTTTGCCTCAAGCTTGTCACTATCTGCATCTCTGACTTTGACATAAGAAATACAACCAAAAACTTTCAAGTGATTAAGAGATACCTCACGACCTTTCCATTCCTCTTCTGGAATTTTGAAACCAATGGGAGATGAGGGTCCTCTGTTGATCAAGTACGCTGCTGTGTTCACTGCATCGGCCCAGAACATCTTGGGAAGTCCTGCATGCAATCTCATGCTTCTGGCCCTCTCATTCAATGTTCTGTTCATCCTCTCTGCAACACCATTTTGCTGTGGTGTTTCTGGAACCGTCTTCAGCATTCTAATCCCCTGTTCAGCACAATACTCTACAAACTCTGTGCTACTATACTCACCCCCATTATCACTCTTTAAACACTTAATTTTGAGATTTGTTTCATTCTCAACTGCAGCTTTGAACTTCTTAAAAGTGTTAAAGACATCGGATTTATTTTTAAGAAAATAAACCCATACCTTCCGTGTAGAGTCATCAATGAATGTAACATAGTAGCGGGAACCTCCAATTGAAGAGACCTTTGTAGGTCCATAGACATCTGAATGAATCAACTCCAGCCGCTCAGTCTTGGGTTGCTGTCCTGTCTTCACAAAGGTTACCCTCTTTTGTTTGCCTAGAACACATGGCTCACAAAAGGTCAACTTTGAATTCTTCAAATCTGGGATTTTGCCCTTTGAAGACAACATCTTTATTCCATTCTCACTTATGTGCCCAAGTCTTTGATGCCACAAAGTAGAGATCCTTGTATCTTCAACTGCTGTGTTTGCTCCATCTGTAGACACTTCAACCATGTACAGTGTACCATGCTTTTGTCCACGAGCAATGACCAGCTTTCCCTTTGTTACCTTCCATTGTTTGTTGCCAAAACTAACGTTATGGCCTTCCTCATCAAGCTGTCCTACTGAGATCAACATCTTCTTCAGGTCTGGAATATATCTGACATCTTTCAGCCTCCATGTTGTACCCAAAGTGGTACTGAGATCAACATCCCCAATACCCGTGATCTCCAGGGATTTATCATCCGCCAAACGAACTCTTCCGCCGTAGGGCCTGAAATTTTTCATCAAATCCCTGCAATGACAAGCATGAAACGACGCACCTGAATCCATGATCCAGGACTCAACTGAATTCTCAATGCTGCAAATTAGAACATCTTCATAATCTTCTGCCACGTTCACCTCCTTCTTGCCTTTATTTGTTGAGGCTTTTGGGCACTGATTTCTGAAGTGTCCATTCTCCTTGCAATTCCAACAATTGATGTCCTTCCTGTTCTTGGATTGACCCCTCTTTCTTGACTTTGATCTTCCTTTCTTGCTACCCTCTTTAGTGGATTTTCTGCTCCTATCTTCAGTACTCAACAAACTATTGGAGCTATCCCCCGAACTCCTCCTTCGGATATCCTCACCAAGGATTAAGTCACGAATACCTTCAAAGGTAAGCTTAGTGGTTCCAGCCGAACTGCTAACTGCTGTGACTGTACCGGACCAACTATCGGGCAAAGATGATAACAAAAGTAGTGCTTGAACTTCATCATCGAATTTAATCTCAACCGAGCCTAACCTGGATATGATTGAATTAAACTCGTTGATGTGATCTGTCACAGATGCACCTTCCTTCATTCTTGTATTCACCAACTGTCTGATTAAGAAAACCTTGTTGGCCGCTGAGGGTTTCTCGTACATGTTGGATAACGCCTTGAGCAGTCCAAACGTTGTCTTCTCGTTGACGATGTTGTAAGCAACGTTTTTCGCCAACGACAACCTCACCACACCAAGAGCTTGTCGGTCCAACAAGTTCCATTCCGCCTCCGCCATCGTCTCTGGTTTGTTCTCAGACAAGGGTAGATGAAGCTTTTTCTGGTAGAGATAATCCTCGATTTGCATCTTCCAGAAAGCGAAATCTTGACCATCAAATTTATCGATCTTAACCTTCCCTTCGTCAGCCATAGCTCTGATACCAGTTGTTAATTATCACGATTAGGCTAAGATAAACGATAAATTTAAAGCAAGAACACAAGAATTTACGTGGTTCACGCAATCGGTGTGATTACGCTAGTCCACGGCGAACGAGAGAGAGATCTATTATTATTCCAGCGTCTGGTCTGTTTACAGATACATTAGGGATGTTTAAATAGGTTTAAGAAAGCCTAAACAAGGGTTAAGGCCGCAGGCCCAAAAATTAATCCCGTCATTAATTTTCCCGTATACTCGATCGAGTATACATACATACTCGACCGAGTATAGATTCCAGACTACTACTCGAGTAAGGTTTTTACGCATACTCGATCGAGTATACCTCCATACTCGATCGGGTACAAAACACAGACTTTTACCCGAGTAAGCCATCCATGCATACTCGATCGAGTAATGACCAATACTCGATCGAGTGTAGAAACCAGGGAACTACTCGACCCATCAACACCTCATACCCGATCGGGTAACCCAACATACCCGGTCGGGTATATACTCCTGCATTCCAAACAAGGCTCCATCTTCAACACCTCCCCCATTACAGTTCTGGCCAGCCGGTCCAGGACCCGGTTAAAAAATAAGACAGTTCCAATCAATGCCATGACACTGAGACCGTGGCAACCCCGAGATGCACCCGTACTTTCCTGTACCGATAAAAAATTTTCCAGTACATATTAGTGCGATTGTAAGTTCAGGTCTATCAGTGTATGAGAATGTGGACATAGCCATGCCAATAAGACATAATTTAACTTATAGTGGTAAAGTCAGGCTGAAAAGTGAACACTCATAACAAATGTCTATAAGCTAACAGTGGTCAAAATCTTTACCTAATGCTAACAAAAAAGTCAGTGCCAAAATATGATGAACAAACTTCCAAAACAGTCAGCTGAGCAATATATAAGAGTCAGTTCAAAACCGCTCAAAAACTCCATTCTTCTTCAAGACCATGGCTCAATGCTAGAAAGGAACGGAGGTAGAACCCTGGCACCACCTCTTTCATTCTAGTTCCGTAGTCCGCACAATCATCCGGAATCTTGACGATCTGGCAGCAAAGACCATCGTGATCAGGAAGTCAGGAACTAACAGCACAGTTCGAAGTATGGCACTGAGTTCAGAATAGTGAGATGGAGGCAAAATACAAGCCAAATCGCATGTGCCGTAGATGTTTTTAACTTTATAAGTCCACCGAGGGGATCCTGCTGTCACATGAGGATCAATAGGCTTCAAAGGAAACCCGAGCTCTTTAAGGGTTGGGATGAAGGATAAGTACTCAGCAGAACAATAAGTTGGTTGACTAATGCCTTCATGTTGTAGACCCTCTGGGTAAGTTGCTGCAAGAATAAGATTGGTCACCATGCTGTGTGTCTCGAAAACACCGAAATCTTGAACCGCCACCGCAAAGGGTAGGGGGAGGGGTACATCATCGTCGCTAGCATAACGGCTTTCATATCTTCCGAATGATTTATGGATGTTGTGGAGCTTAGCATAAATAGCAGCCATGCACACATCTGTTGTCAATTTGGTAATCTCAGTAGTCAGTGCTAGGATTGCAGACTCAGTTTGGGTCTCATAAGCGGCACTGGAGAAGAAACGAACACACAAGGCAGCAAACATACAACCATTAAAACAACGTCTAAGTTCTTCAGCATTAACCTCGTAAGTAAGAAGCTGCGGCTTTGAGCCTAAAGGGCGCTGGAATCCAAGCACTTTAATCTCCACGAGGTGACGGATATATTCGGGGTCCACGGATATATTCGGGGTCCACTGCTAAAACAACACCCTTCTTCACCCTAAACTCTGGTACAGTCTGTGACTCTCTAGCAGCTGCATATGTAATAGATCATGCAGGCCGCTTGAATTTCTTTGCAGCCGGCTGAGTAATATCGAGTGAACCTTGTTCCATTGGTGTAGACATACCTGGAGGAAGATGGTGTGTGAAAGAATCATGATTTCTGCACAAGTCCTATAGCAACAGCAACATGCATTTTTTACATTTTCAGTTATTTTGCAAGAGAACTTAATGTATCAGTGTATGTATGACCCTGTTAGCAGTATCTCTAACATGTTGAATTAAGTACTGCTCTTATATGATGAATTTGCAACTTCATAATCTCTAGACCTGCAATGCTTATATGGAGATAAATGGACCTGAACTCGGCACAAATGGGAAACCAAACGTTAAACCTAATAGGAGCGTGAAACTTTAATACTCCTACAACTATATTACTATTTCTATTCTTCAACAATGTTTAACATCAAACAAATGTAAATGTAATGATTTTGAATAATGGTCACTAAACATACATACATATGTATTTCAAATGTATTGGACATTTGGCCCTTCAGAAATTGCCTAAAATGGTTAATTACTATCATGTTTGAAAAATAATGTCAATTATGACATTAAAACAGTCATATTAATGTCTGGTAATGTCAAAGTATTGGAGTACTATTTTAGGATGTTAGTAATTTAATCCTACTTGGAGTGGAAAACATAGTACTACTGTATTAGAATTTCACATCGTTTTTACTCTTATTTTGGGAAATCTCCCTTGGACCTTCAACCATGATCAGTCAACCCTTCAAGAGCCCTTCTGCCACATCAACAAAAGAACCAGTGACTGCCATGAACCCAACAAAACAAATAGGTTATAAAGAACTACCCCCATATGGCCATATAGACAAAGTTAAAGTACCAAAACATATGTCAAGCAGATCTTGCAACAATAGGAGCCAAGATGTCGAAAATTAGAAAAATAAGGTAAGAGCAGGGAAAGTAAAGACTCTCCCTCAATATCCTATGTTCAGATGGGATACAGGAATATTCAGATTATACCAAATATATCTTCTTTTGTTTCAACAAAGTATATCTCAATAGAGAAATTTGAACCATTTAAAACAGGAAATTAAAATACACAACATGTAAAATCTCACCTTATAGCATCATTCTCGAGTTAACCATCAGAAATTTTACAATTTGGTTTGCATCCTTTACAAAACACTACCTTCTATATACTTCATAGCTATTGTAGTTTTGTGGGATTTCAGCCACTAGTTTCTGCTCCATTGTTGATTTCGGCAGTGTTTGCTTAAGCGTAAAAAAAACACTTTTTAGCTTTTGGCTTAAAAAAAGTTGAAATCAGTGTTTTCTAATACCAACTTCTACTTTAAAAAAGCACTTTAAAGCCAAAAGCTGGAAGTTGGTATATGGTAGCTTCTAACTGCTTCTTGGGTTTTTAGTAAATAAATCCAACTCCAAGGATAGTTATAATGGCAAATCTATTCATCAAAAACCCAAAATGTCCTTTCTTCTTCCTCAATCGCAAGGCACTAACGGTACTCCTCTGTCATTCGTATCGCACCAGCTCACCGAACAACAAGCCCATCTTCCTCCTTGGTAGCCTTTCGGCACTCTCATCCCATGTTGCTGCTACTCTAATTTGTCTGCTTCTGCGTCACAGACCTGCGAGAAAGGGGATGATGCCGGAAAGAACCGGAAAACGGAACTCATGTGCACCCCAGTTTCATTTATGTAGGGGCAATTTTGTACTTTAACAAAATATTCCATCAAAAATCACTTTTTTATCAAACACTTCAACTTTTACCTTTTAATTAAAATCACTTCTGTTTACAAACACTATCTACTTTTACTACAAATCACTTTTCCAATAATCTCTTAAATAAATCACTTTTAAAAAGCACAAGCAAACGCAAACACTCCCTTCATCAATCCCCTTAGGGTGCTCTCAATTAAAGAAAGGTTTAAATACGTGTTTAGTCCCTGCAAATTAAGCACACTTTGTTTTAGGTCCCTCAAAATATTTTCTTTGTTTTTCATCTCTGAAATTTATGTTCGTTTTCTTTTTAGTCCATAACTAATGATAACTAATGACAACGAAACAATCCCGACTAATAGATATCCTTTTATTCTTTGTCATGCCATTCAAAAAGTATTTAATTTCATTTTTAAAAAGGTTTTTAATATATATTTTTCAAATGTGAATAATTAGTTTTAATATTGTTTTAAAACTCTCTTATTAGCCTAAAAAAATTATAAACTTATAATTTAAATGTTTCTAGTAGATTTATGCAACCGACAATAAAAAAATCTAAGTAGAGTTGAATCGGAGTTAGAGATGGACTAAAACTAAAATAGCGCATATTACAAGGATGAAAAACAAAAACAAAAATATTTTGTAATGACCTAAAACAAAGTGTGTGGTATTTGCAAGGACTAAAACCATATTTAAACCTTAAAGAAATTAAACATTCCCGAGTTTGCATCTTAGTACATTACTCCTATCATGAGTAATCAAATGAAGGCATCGAACTACTACTGGCATTAGCAAGTAACAACCAAACTACTAGCTTTGGGCCTTTGGTATATTCAGATTTAAACCCATCAATTTATGTACCTAAGTCCCAACTATGGAGGGATGAGCTGCGAGCTTCTGCGCACCCTTCGATACTTTGGCATGAAACCCTAAATACCGATCCAAAATTTTCAGTGCAATAATAGCACCCTGATTATCAAACATAGGATGAAAATAATCCGTTCTCTCATACACTTTGGAGCATGTAGAATATTCTCTCATAACTTGAAACAAGAGCAATTTCTGAAGGGAAAAGGGGCAAAAAAACCCTCAAGTTGTCAACAAAGGGCACATATACCCTTAAACTTTTTTTATGTGCAAAAACCTTTAAAATACTTTAAAAGAGGGCAATCACCCCCTTGGCCCCTTGTTTAACGTTGAATCAATTAAACGAAATGGGCAACCGTTAAAAGTTGCTCTATATATTGCCTATAACGTATACTACGTGTATAACAAATACTACTATGAGATATCTTTCATATTTTTTACTTTTAAAATAATAAATCTAGTTGGCTAGCAGTTAGCAGTTTAGCACCTTGTTTCTCCATCCGGGGAGAATCCAATTTTTAATTCAATCAACAATTTGATTACTTAGACAGCTATTAAGAATAAAAATTGGAGAATATCTCCCTCAAACACATGAAAAAATGTTGTTGCAAAAATTCTGTGGCAAAAAAAATTGCATAATACCTCCAAAATTATGTTTCCAAAAAAAAATCAACATAATGACAAAATTTTGGGTGAAATGCATAAATGGTACTTTAACTATGATTTTTTTTAAATAGGAATAAAAAAGAAAATTCTAAATTTTAAATGATACATGGCGATCAAAATTACATGTATAGAGTCTAGGGTTGGGAAAAATGGTTAGGTTTGATCGAACCGAACCGAAAATTGGTGGTTTGGTTTGGTTTGGGTTTATTTGCTCAAACCGAATGGTTTGGTTTGGTTTAAAACCGAAAAACCGTAAGTCGAACCGAACACCGAACAACTTGTAATAAATAAATAAATAAATAATTTAGACATGAAAAATACAAATTTAACATATATCATTTTAACTTTTACACATTTCATACATTCATTAGTACAAAATTAGCTAATACGACATATTTTTATTTGCTACGTTTCGTACTCTACCTATATGAGAATATATTTGACGATTAACGACAACAAATTGCATTTATATTTTTTATATGATTCATTCGAATAAAATTGTGAATATTACAACATTCGTACCATTCACTCATTTAGTTCTATTTGAATATTTTATGTGATATTATAAGTGATAATCAAATTTATTTTTTGTGAGAAGTGAATCTTTTTCTAATAATCGAAAAGATATTAGAAAATTTAAGTTATAATATTTTATTATTTCTTTTTCTTTCTTTTATTTCCTTTTACATTTTATATAAATAACAGATAAAAGAAGATGAGATGGACTAGTACTTTCATTTTCTAGTTCTAAAATATCGAACTTGATCAAATAAAATAATAAAAATAAGAAATCGAATCAAATCAAACTAAATCGGCCTAATAACTTTTACTTTGGTAAACCAAACTTCAAATCGAATAGAACCGAAACTAAACCAGAACATACACAAATAGTTTTAGTTTGGTACAAATTCTCTCAAACAGAATAAACCGAAACCGAATCAAAATCGAAGAAAACCAAACCGTGAACCGAATTCACATCCCTAGTAGAGTCCACCCTATTGTGATAACATGAACAAAAGCAACTTGAAGTGGATTTTACCCATAAAATTTCGCCGTCACGTATGATTTTTTTACCATAAATTTGAATAATATTGTGACTTGAAACATTTATGTATAGTTATGATACTGATTTGATTCATTTAAAACTTAAGATACCAAAATGCAATAATACAAGTACTTCAAGTATCATTTCTATATTTCACCCAAAAATCCATTTATTACTATGAACTCTAGGCTATGTACTACGTATACGTATGAACAAATCGAACTTGAGATCTGAAGTAAAGTTAAAAAGATTAGCTATGAACTAACTAACTAACTAACTAAGCTACATAAACAAATGTTACGGGTGCATCAATTTACGAATATTTTTCAAAAGAACCTGAGTTTCTTACGGTGTTCATCAATTTACAAAAAAAAAGTCTATGTCATCCTAATATTAAGTTATTAACGGGGTATACATGTTTGCATGTTCACCATTAGGTGAAGGGGCTATTTTCTCTCTTTTTAGGTATCTTGATGGTTTTTGCACAAAAAAATAGTTTAAGGGCATATTTATCCCTTGTCAACAACTTAAGGGGTTTTTTTGCCCCTTTTCCCATTTCTGAATTAGTCTAGAAGTTGATAAAGAAACGAGGAAAACAAAAAAATCACCCGTTTTTTCGAAATGCATCCCTTTATCCATGGTACTTCCTTCGTTCTTTAATTCTTGTAACATTGTAACTTTTGCATTATTCACAAATCTTACTTTGACCATGATTTTTCTATTGATATACCTAATCAAATTATTATGTATAAAATGGTATTGAATTCCCATCGATGTGAATTTCCAAAATATCAACTTTTTATAATGTTTACTAATACATAATTATATTTAATTGTAGTCAAAGTTTTGCGTTGACAATCGTGTAAGTCAAACTGTTGCAAGAATTAAAGAACGGATGATAGTATATACCAATATACCAATCGTCCTCAAGCGTAATTGGAGTACGTAGTTAGGATAATTTAGAATTTTTTATCTGGTCTAATCTTTTTTATTTGGTTTACTTAAATTGATATAGTTTGATACTCGGTACATGTTTGGTCTTTGTTTATTTTATAATTGTTGAATTTTAGTCTTATCTAATATGTTAAAGCTAGTCTGTTTGTTCTAGTATGTCTAAATTTGGTCTGATATGTCTAAATTTGATTTAGGCTTATTTGTTTTGCTATAAGACTGAAATAAGCTAAAGTAAAAACATTTTTAGACCACTAACGGTGTAGCACTAAGAGCCCGTTTTGGTGACCATGTTTTCGGTTTATCAGGCTTATCAGTCAACTTTTTCACCAAACACGTAATTTTTGATTTCACGACTTGAATTATTTAATAATAAAAAATGCAAGGTTGAAGTTATTTTTCCGGTTGTATTAGTTGAAGTTACTGTAAAGGGTAATTTTAACCTTTTTCATATAATTTTTTCTTTGTTTTAATAACAAAATATGTTTTAATTTTTTTTTTATAAATCATCATAATCAATCAATTCAACTACTTCAACAAGAACTTCATAAAATTCATCAAAATCAGCAAATACAGCCAGTTTGAATATTACCAAACGAACTCTAAGTGCTAAACAGAGGTGTCCATTAAATATGGTGAAATTAATAAAATATGACTAATTGTATTGGGTAAATATGTTAATTTATATATCAAAAAATTATGTATAATATAGAATACATGGTTTTTTGGTAAAATGTTTATATTAAGATATTAAAAACTTGCAAAACAGTTAAAAAAAACTTGTAAAATAATGTCCAGGGAAAACTACTTGGCTTTGTCGGCCATGAAAAAGCAACTCGACTCATTACATAGAAAAGCGACTGAATTAGAAACACTGCCTACAAAATCTCATCAAATCTAATCTTATACGATAGTATTAACTACTCCCTCCGTATCAAATTAATTGACCCGCTTTCCCTTTTTGGACGTATCAAAATAAATGTCTCATTTCCCTTTTTGGAAATAAACTCACCCAAAAAGCAGTTACAGTACCGCTACAGTACTACTACAGTACGAGTGCCTATATGGTACAACCGGGTGTACGTACACCCGGTCCAATTAAGGAAGACAACCAAATAACTAATATAGGCCAAAAAAATTCGGTGGCATTCTTGTAATTTAAGCAAAAAGTCACGGCCTCCACTAAAATGAGTAATAGTGTACTTTTAGTGAGCATTGTACCTGTTGTATTGAGTATTAGGAGGCTAACAATGAATATCACAATCTCTGTTTCATATCTTCTAATTTTTTTTCTTTTTCTTATTTTTTCTTTTATAAAAATGTATTAAATTATATCTATAATTCACTCCTATTAATTTCAATTTGTGAGTCTAATGTAATATGATACTTTTGAAATATGACATTTAAAAATGAGCATAATATCAATACCAAATGAGCATACATAACTTGGAAAGTGCACATTGATATGAAAATCGTAAAATTTGTTAGTTGAACATCATGAGATTTTAATTGAGCATCAAACCTCCGCTATTGAGATGAAAATCGTGGTTTCTATTGAGTGAGCATTAATATGACATTTTGAAAATGAGCATAACATAAATACCAATTGAGCATACATAACTTATAAAATGAGCATTAATATAAAATCATAATATTTTTAGTTAAGTATCAAGCCATTTTCATTGAACATCAAACCTCATGTATTGAGTATTACAAACATACAATTGAGTTTCATGATTTGCGCTCTCATATCTATAATCAACTCATATGTGAATCTAATGTAATGCGGAATATGATACTTTTGAAATATGCATTGATATAAAATTTTAAAATGAGCATAATATCAATATTAAATGAACATACATAATGAGCAATGATATGAAAATCATAAATTTTGTTCGTTGAGTATTAAAACATTTTCATTGAGCATCAAACTTTCTAAATTGAGTATTAGAATCATGCAACTGAGTACTCCTATAATTAATCAAATTAAAAGAGGTAGAATTATTTTGAATCAAATCTTCATTGCACAATTAAGAGGAATGAAAACGAACAAAAAGAAGTGGAAAACTAAAAAAGAAGTTGACACTGTAGAAATTATATTCATTGCAAATTGCCGACTTTTGGAACTCCATCTGCCTCGCTCGCAGAATCCACTTGCGGCTACTCCGTCTCTATTTTCAACGCAAGTGGGTTGTGTGGTCTTGTGGACGGTTGATTTCTCAGGAGGAGCTGAGGCATCAGAACAGTTAGAAGGTGTAGTGCCGAGGTCGGGGGCTGGGAAAAGCAGATCAGCAGATGCAAAACAGAGTAAATGCCATCTCAGAATAATTGCAAAAATACCTGGTTGTACGGTGAGGACCATACAACCGGGTGTACGGTATATTTTGCCCTACAGTACCGCTACAGTACCAAAAACCTCCTACTTTACATATATT